GATAGGCTCTGCTTAGCCAAAAAGGCCTCGATTTCGGAGCGTAATCGCCGCAAGCTAGCAACGACTGGCTCGTCATCTCCAGCATCAGCACTAAGTTCTAGGAATCCGTGCAAGAGTTGACCAAAACGCTGAGTGACAACATGAGGCGCGGTTGTCATTTTCGCCACATCCGCCGCTGATCGAGTCGGTTTGCTGGGTAAACTGTTTATTAATTGACGAACAGATTCGCAATGTCGATCCATGATGACCTGCAATCGTGGCCAAAGAAGCATGTTCGTGCCGTTGATGTATCCGTCCACAACAGGTACTTTGCGTCGCTGAAGCTCAAACGCAAAGCGTTGGTTTAGGCGAATACAAAGCAAAATACCTAAGGCGTCAAACGTCTCGGCCACCAGGGTCTTTGACAAGGTCTGGCCAAGCTCAAAGGTAGATTCGAATATGTAATTGAAAGTTTTCGAAATTTGGGAATAAGACAACGCTGGTGAAAAAAACGTGGCTAGAAATGTGTACTCTGCTGTGGCGTTGTCGATTAACGCTAAATTATAGTTTCGAAACTGTACTTCCAGATAATGCGTGGCCTGGTCCTCTTCGGCCAGATACGAGGACATCGCCGCCTGATTGGTTGTTGTAAGAAGGTCTATGCGCCGTCCAAGATTGAAGGCATCGTGCGGAGGCCCCGTTGCTCGAGCACTCGAAAGAACGGCCGTCATTCTCGTAGCATCTTCATGGCCCAGAGTGTCTGTCTTGTCAAGAATATGAGTCTTGATCTTCGCTAGGGCTCGCTCGTATCTACTGAATTGATTGTGGTAATACCATCGCATTGTGTTCATGTAGGCGAGTGAAATTTCGTCGGCGAGGGTTGCATGATGCTTATGAAGAAAGGTAAATAGGTCCCTGAAGCGGAGAAAGTTTTGTTGCTGGATGATTTGTGCGTTGATGTGTGGTGATCGAAGTGCCTTTATTTGCGCCACAAGAAAGTCCCTGATGCGCTCAATTGCCTGGATGAATTGTCAATAAACTGTCATTTCATCATAATGACCATCAAGCAGTAAAACATACCTTTGATGTGAGCTTTTCTAACAGGGGACCTAGTTCCTCAGACGCTTTGCTGTGTTGCAATGCAGAGGATGTCTTCATCTTATGCGCCGCCGTTCTCCGGTCCAACTCTGAGAGCATCTTGGCCCAAGATTCGTCGATGTGACCGGTTGATATTTTTGATATTACCTCGGGTGACAGGCTGAGCTCTTCTACTAGCGGACCTAGCGCCTTCTCAACCTCCTTGCGGTTCTCCAACCGCCGATTCAATGCAGTCGATCGCTCTTGTAAAGACTCAATATCGGCGGATACGGCGGCCAGATCATTCCGGAAATCAGCCAGGTTGATTTCAACGGAGTTGAGAACGTCGTCACAAGCTGTGATGGACCTATGGAGATCCTCAAACTTGGCACACTCCTGATTGTCTTGTTGTCCAATGTTAGTAATATTAAAACCAGGAGGAAGCTAGTGACATACACTCTTCAACAGTTTGCGGCTGCCGCGATGCTGTCATAGCATGCTCAGGAGGGTGTGACGACGCGAGCTCCTTCAATCCAAGTCCGCCAAAATCAAAATCGAGGTCGAGATCTGCTTCTACAATGGAGCTTGTCCTCGCCTTCTGCGTCTCGGCATCGTTTTCAACATGGCCGGGCTGCTGAAGAAGCCTCTCGAGGGTCTCTACCGGGTCTGGTAGGTTCGGGATGGTTGATGAATGTCGCAATGAAGAGCCATTCGGTCGTCGCGACGCAGGGAGCAGCGATGTAGACGAATCATTGGACGCTAGGGACAATGAAGAGCTGCGCGGAGAATGACCAGCCCGCTGAGACGTCAAATACGGGCTAAGGTTGCTCGACGTTCTGCGTGGGAGAGGCGAGTATGACCTGTTGCCAGGTTGGGGCGTTGACTGACCTGACGCGCCTGATGGACCGCCAGCCAGTCTATCAAGCCACATGCTGAAGGTTAGAGGGACAAGCCTCCCAATTTCGCTGTGTAAATTCTATATGGCGGCGGCCATGGTATTTAGGCAATCAGTCGTCACTTCTTGTCGCGATGTTCCCAGCAATTGTGTCATTTCCACAACTGGCCCAAGAGACAGATTGGAGTCACTGCAGTAAGTTGTGGGGCGCTCATTGGTCCCATTTGCAATTCAAGCCACTAGAGTGGACCAGGCTGAGCCACAGGGGCGGAACACCACCGAGTAGGTTCGATATTACTTAACCACATGTGCACTCTGTATATCAACCTTGGAACGTACTAAGGTAGGGCTACAACTACTCACGGACCCCGTTCGTTATGAGAAATTCTAGGACACTTTGGACGAAATCGCTTTTCTGGTGGCGTAAGGATATACAACGGTACACTGACGCAATGTAAAATATAAAAGAGAGATTCTTCGATTAACGAGCCACCTCATTAGGTACTTGCTTTATCGGGACCCCGATCATATGTATGGTCTCAGTGCTGGCACTCTGAACGGGGTCCGCTTCTGCTGGCACCTGGATGACTACAGAGTAGAAGCTAACTACTAACGTACCTAGGTAGCTATTAGAAGTGTCAAATGCAAAAACTGGTCTCGACCCGCCCCAGGGCCCAATCACACCTGCGAAGAAGGGGAAAAACCTGAGACGGAACGCCATTTTCCCCTCCGTCTCTACATTGACTTCCCTCTCCTCCCACTTTTACACTTGACTCTTCTTTTTTTCCCTCCGCCCACTGTCCAGCACCATCACTGCTTTTCAGTGCCGGAAAAAAAATTAGAAAGGCATCGCTTTCTCTTCCTTTCCCTCCCGCCTCCCACAAGTCCGCTTTCTTGCGCATTCATCACCATGGCTGACGAGGTAAGCTGCTACTATTTCTGACGGGAATTGTTGATTTTGCTGCTGTTGTTTTTTTTGCGCGGACCTTTTGGGCGGCGGGAAAAATTCACCCCGCATCAATCCCCCTCATCGCTGCACTCAGTGTGTGCCCCCCTTGCGGACGACGCTGAGGACTCGCGCTGCGAACTGGGTGCTTTGTGCGCGTGCCCCACGACCCATCGAAACTCACAAACCGAAAATATTGTTGCGATTGCCATCACCAACCTCACCATGATCTCTGGGAGTGCTCAAATTGATATTCCTGGCAATATCATGCCGCTAATTTTGTCGCCTTTTGTCTGGCATGTTGCATCTGGTGTTCTTTACTGATCAAATTCCGTGATACAGCACGATCTTGAATTCGAGTCCGCCGACGCCGGTGCGTCCACGACCTACCCTCGCCAGTGCTCTGCTCTACGCAAGGGCGGTTTCGTCGTTATCAAGGGACGCCCTTGCAAGATTGTAGAAATGTCTACCTCCAAGACTGGCAAGCACGGTCACGCCAAGGTCCACCTGGTTGCCACCGATATCTTCACGGGCAAGAAATACGAAGATTTGTCTCCATCCACCCACAACATGGATGTGCCTGTCGTCAACCGAAAAGAGTACCAGCTGGTGAGTAGCAACTCCTTTCTACTACCCCGACATCTTGTGGCCATTCATCCCAAGTCAGCAAAACCCTGCCAATGTACTAAGCTAGTTGCTAGGTCGACATCTCCGACGACGGTTACCTCTCCCTCATGGATGACAGTGGCAATCTGAAGAACGATGTCAAGAAGCCTGATGATTTGGATCTTGTCAAGAAGCTCGATGCGCTCTTCCCCACCCCCGAAACCGAAACCAACAAACAGAAGGATACCAGTAAGCTGCTCTCTCCAATCCAAAGAAGAATTATAAACAGCATTCTTGCTAGAAGCAGGTGTGTCTTGGCGTATGAATTTTTTTGTTAACAGCTTTTGGTAGACGTTATCATCCTTACTGCCATGGGTGAGGAGGCTTGCATTGACGCTAAGGAGGCTCCCAAGGGCGCCTAAGCGGGCAATTGAATCGACGAAAAGTCCACGCACAGTGCCAATGTTGTACAGCCCTTGTTGAGACAATGTCGTCCGCATGGTATCTAGGCAAACTGGGATTAGTTATGATTCTATGCAGTGCAGATGTAGATGGGACGATGAATCAAGGTCGACGAGTATGGAGATGCTATATGAACGGGATTGTATTAGCTGGCTGCAGCTCTGGTCAACTCATCCATAGTTGAGGCGACAGCTCTGAATCATGTTTCCTTTGTTTCGCAACGACTCTTGGCCATTAGTACCACTGCATGAAGTTGCAGCTGGGCAAGTCATTCCCAAATGAAAAAGGAAAAAAAGAAAAGATGAGATATAACGACCGTACATTGAAGTTCTTCCTTTATCATCCAAAGACAGTGAAGAATTGTAAAACGGATTTGATTTGTTTCCCCCTTCGGCCCACAATGAATTGGACTGTTGGAGTAAAGTTACCGCACCTTTGTCGAGCTTTATTGCAATTTAAAAGGGATGATAGAAGGCCTTAAAACAGTGTCAAGTTGTGTGTGAAAGTGGGCGCCCACTTTAATGGTGGGTGAATTGGCAGGGAGAGAATGCCTCGTGTGTGTGTGATGAGGCACACGCCAACCTTGCCTGGCCTCACCTTGCCACTGAACCACCTTCAAATTAGCCAACTGCGCGGCACGTACAACACAGCTCTTGTCCGCTCCCGTTCTTCATGAAATACCCTACTTGTCCTCAAGCCCGGTACGGGTTTTATTTTCACCTCCCATATAACGTTCATGCAACGAGGTTGGTTTTGTCATTGAAGTGATATAGAGCACTCGGTCACACGTCAGTGAACATGGAGGACCGACGGGAGCTTCGCAGAATGCCTCGAGGAGAGAGATGCCCTGAATGTGGAAGCCAAAAATGGTATCTACAGGATGGGTTGCGATTTTGCGCCAGGGGCCATCAAATAGAGGTAGGGCACTCCTGGTGCGCTCTTAAAACGGATAGCCAAAATGGATGGGGAGACTGACAGCTTTCTTGGTAGGGGTTTATTCAATTTGACGTCGGTGATGAAGAAGATGCTGGCAAAATGGGAGCTGTAGCTCGGCGGGAGAAGGAAAAAAGAGAGGTAGAAAAGCGTCAACTCACAGGCCAGGAAGGACGATCACTGTTCCTAGAGGCAGTTCAGCTACTCTTACGAAAACAAGTCTCGTTTCTGATCCGAAGCAAAGGTCATAGAGAGGAATTAGAAACGGTTGTTAGAGACTTATGGGACTTGCGCATTAGGGGGTATACCTCTAATTCCACAGAAACAAATCTTGCAAACACCGAGCTTGAAATGTTCAGCTCCCAGTCGACCCGGACAGAGGAGGGAACAAATGTGTCTTGGCACTCGCGATCCAGGGCCCAAAATTGGGATCCTGAACGTGGCACTGACTGGCCTATGCCTCGAATAACAGAGACTATTGTGCTATGCTATCTCGGTTGCTTACTCCTAAGAATACCTACAAGGCTAGCGGACCTGTATGCTTGGGTCTCAAATAGCAGCATGCCCTACTTGAGAGCAGTAAGTTTTCTCTATTGAACACCTACTATATTTCCCGAGGCCCTTACGCTTTCTAGTTTCAGGAGCTACCGCGGGAGATTCAAGAACGAATGCCTTCGTCTTATGCCAATGTGATGAAGCTGTGTTCTCGTTCTGGTTTGAATGGAGAAGACTTGTACCGAACAGTCATAGATACAGTTCTCTCGTACCGATTAAACTACGACATGACGTTTCCGGAGCTAAATTACGTCCCCATGGCCGTACAGTACGCAAAACATCTTTGTTTACCAGGTTTGTGTACACTTCTTAATGGGTAAGGCTCAGCACTGGTTAACCCAAAATATAGTTGAAGCAATTGCGGTAGCAAGACGACTTGCATCAGCTCTGGACCTCATGTTTTACTTTCCGGTATCAAAAGCGAAACTTTACTTCCTCGATAACCCAGAGGTCCAGTTAATTTCACTCCTAGTCGTGGCAACGAAAATGTGTTTTCCGCTTGATCCTAGCCAGCCCTCCCTCCTAGACCCTGCAGGCTGCTGTCTACCTCAATTCAACTGGGCAAGCTGGAAGACCGGTTTCTCGAGCGATGGCCCAAAATCGGGGAAAGAAACACAGGAACATGTTGAATTTGAGCACATCACACCAAATCAGGTCACGAAATTGAGTGATGAGAAATTCGATGCGTATGTAGCGCATTTATCTGAGTCCATAGGCCATGGAAGTGAGTCGACGCGGCAGATACACCCCATTCTTGTAACAGGAGCGCTAATGAATGAGTTAAGGTTATAATGAAGTTGTCCAATTCTTCCCAGCCGAAACGGTGGCCGTATCTTCATCGTCGCAGTTTAGCACACCAGAAGAGAAGATTGAAGGGAGAGCTCGTCGTATTTTAGCACAGGCTGTTAAACCGAATGACATGGACGGTAGACGGAGAGAGGTTACATACGAGGCATTCCGTACAGTTGAAGACATATCAGATATTTCTTATGCATTTTATAAAGAAGCAGGTTGGTGTATACCCATATTTTTGTCAGTGTCCTCTAACACTGCGCTAACATAATCCCACTTAGGAAAGGCCGCCGGATTGTCGACTAGCACCATGACACGAGCGATTTACATGCTGGAGCAACGGATCGTCTCCTGGCAGAAGAAGCACCGGGAGGAAATATGAACGGAATGATAGCTTTAAGCATCTGGTAGACAGCTTTTGTATCAGTGGCCACAAAAACAACCTTCTTGAGCGTAGTTGCATGAAATTTATACCAATGATACCCGCAGGATGTTCGTAGAAAGGGCACAGTTAGCCTGTTGACAACCAACTGACAAGGATGCCCGCCTCGTCCAGGCCCGCAAGTGCTGGAAAGTGCCCCCTCTCTGTCAATGCCAGAAGAGTTGTCCCCACTGGAGCTCTTTTCAAGCCCTCACGTGACCTTGCATATGACCTAGGGTTTTTTTCGCATCTGCTCTTTGGCCCCACCAACTTCGCGCAGACTCGTTCGGCTGTACGAATCTTCACCATCGCCAGCGTCACAAAATCAGTCAAGAGTAAGTTTGGACTTCTGCGGTTAGGCCATGTGTGCATATTGAAAAGTACTGACATATTTTAATAGTGCAGATGTAAGTTCGAATTTTCGGTGACGCCAAGTTTGGATTTCTTCAACCATGACCGACTCGTACTGACGAAGCAACGCAGTTTTGTGAAGACCCTGACGGGCAAGACCATTACCCTTGAGGTCGAGTCCTCCGATACGATCGACAATGTCAAGTCCAAGATCCAGGACAAGGAGGGTATTCCCCCGGACCAGCAGCGATTGATCTTTGCTGGCAAACAGCTCGAGGATGGCCGAACTTTGTCCGACTACAACATCCAGAAGGTTCGTCCCACATGCGCAATGCAATATCGAGAGAACAGAAGAATTACGGAAGTTTCTACTTGAATCTTTTTGGGGGTTGATTTACATCTCAAGCAAGATTGACTGACTGGCTGCTTTGTTCCGACTTGACAGGAGTCCACCCTGCACTTGGTCCTCCGTCTCCGTGGTGGTATCATCGAGCCCTCGCTGAAGGCTCTGGCCTCCAAGTTCAACTGTGACAAGATGATTTGCCGCAAGTGCTACGTATGTTGCATCCCGTCTTTAATTGCTCGCAAATATGCGGCGATGGCTTCTTCCGCGGTTCTATGACTGACAGTGTACATAGGCTCGCCTCCCTCCCCGCGCCACCAACTGCCGCAAGCGAAAGTGTGGTCACACCAACCAGCTCCGACCCAAGAAGAAGCTCAAGTAAACGGTTTCACCCATGGATGTGGCGTATTGGTTTTTGGCATTCTGGAGATGGCAAGGACAAAGGCGCTTCACGGTTGACGAGCCTGGCTTTGTTTCTATTTTTAGCATCTGCAGCTCAGGCAATCCAATCTAGATGGTGCCCATGAATGAAAGTTTTTGCATCAATGACATGGCCTCGTCCAGGCGCCCTGAGAGACCAGTAAAAAGGACTGGCTGTAGTGGGAAAGCATGACTTTTGCATGAGTGACTGGGTTTACCAAGTATGGCATTGTACGCGGGACTGGGCAAACGAGGGATTCAGCCCGTTGAAAATCAGTCATGGAACAATGGTGTAAACCTGCAGACCTCGTGTAGATGGCTCTCTCAATGCCATTCCAAGCGGCACCAACTATGAAATCCCGCGCCCTCATCCTTGCCGCAAGATTGATGTGGGGCATTACTAACCCCCTCCGTAGGTCGGTGCCAGTGCCAGTGCATGGGCCAGACCCAGGCAAGGGGTTACAACGGGTAAAACCCGGTCTTCCTGGACGGCTGGAGCAGGTCTTACTTCGTGGAGCTTTCCCACACTCCCTGGTTCGCTGACGACAGACACATGTGTCCGCAGCGGCGTGCACCCGATTTGCAAACGACAGCCTTTTCGCGACAGCGTCTAGCTTGCAACATTTTGCTTCAGCCAGTCGCTTCCGAAGTCTCCCCATCTGTATCTTGGTCTTGCGTGACTGATTAATACCTTGATCGATAACCAAGAAGACAACGACAGCTATACCCCCAATCTTCCCTTGGGATCCAGGATACTGTCATCATGTCTGGGTCAGGATACGACGCCGTGGTGGACGTGGACGACGAGGTATGCGATAGTTCTTCAAACCTTCGATTGGGGCAGGCACAGGCTTTATGTGAAGTTGATCAACCGATGATCCTTCTGCCTCTCTTGATACGTAGCAAAGCAATCGGTCTCCAAATCAGCTAACATATCAACGTAGGGCGACCTCGGTCACACTGATCTCCAAGAGGATCTTGAGTTCCACAACTCCAACTTCACCGATGCATCGCACAGTGGCCGTAAGGGCCCTCCATCTGGCCTTCCCCCTCCGGCCACGGCCCCATCAGGGCCGTCGTCGTCGAAGCGCTTCCTATGGACTATATCATTCTACTCGCAGTTCTTCGACGTCGACACATCGGCCGTGCTGTCACGCTGCTGGGCGGCACTCTATCCTCGAGCAAACTTTCTCGATGTCCTTGAGGGCAACCCTGACTTGTACGGCCCTTTTTGGATTGCAACGACTGTCGTGTTGATTCTGTTCTTGGGTGGGACGATCAGTGACTGGTTGTCCACGAGAGGGACCGCGCAGTTTGCCTATGACTTCAGACTCTTGAGCGGTATGTGTCCTGCCTAGGCGCTCTCTTCTCCCCTGACATTTAACGCTGTGGCTGCCAGCTACTGAGTGTCACAATGAGTTCCCAAACTAACCACAAGTATTACTATTAGGCGCCGCCGGCCTGGTCTATGGATATACCCTGTTCATTCCCGTAGCGCTCTTCCTCGCCCTCCGATACTTCGGCAGCGAGTCTGCCAACCTCCTCGAATGCTGGGCCCTGTACGGCTACTCCAACCTCATTTGGATCCCAGTCGCAATTATCAGTTGGTCGCCCATCGAAATTCTCAATTGGACCTTTGTCGCCGTTGGCTTTGGACTCTCTGTTGTCTTCCTCCTGCGCAACTTATATCCCGTCCTTAGCGCTACAGACCGCCAAGTCAGCAAGGTTCTTCTGATTATTGTTGTTATACTACATGCCGGTTTGTCTCTCACTATAAAGATCCTCTTCTTTGCGCATAACAGCCCCGTCGCAAAGAAGCCTGTTGGTGATGATGTGCCTGCGGGTGACAAGCCAGCCTTTCTACTCTAGGCAGGCTTTATCAGCTATAAGAAGAGGAGAGAAGGGGGAGGAGGCCGAGCAGAAGGGAATTATGAATTTATTCCACAGAGACGGGAAAGAAAAGAACCAGAGTTGGCCGTGCCTAGTCAAAGTCGCACACTGGATGTGATGAGTATGCCAGTATTGTACATTATATGAAGCGCTATCTACCTAAATCAATCACACACCCATGTATTAAATACCATGCCATCATGCCTTTGTCCAAGATGCCTCAACACCCTACTAACATGACGAAAATCTCCTTTTGTGTAATCAATTTTGTCCGAGCCCCTTGCCACTCTTCACCCTCTCAACAGGACCCTTCTGCGCCTCCCAGTCCAGCCAGCTCCCTGAATATTCACCTACATTCTCCCACCCAGCGTGCTTCGCCAGCCCCGCCGCCGACTTGGCCCTCACGCCGGCCTTGCAATAGAACAAAAGCGTCTTGTCGCGCGAGGGTCTCTCAAACCCATGTACATCCTCAAAGTCAGCGTCGGAGATATGGAAGCTTTGCACGGCCGATGTGACGGGGATATTTATAGCACCGGGAATCTTGCCGGTAGTTTGCAGTTCGGCCGGTTCACGAACATCTGTGCATCATTGATCCCTTATTGTTAGTAAAAGACCACCCTCTTCACACGAGACAGACATTACGATTTGGTCTGTACATACCAACAATGACGATATTCTCAGACGCGCGCTTCCCATCGACCAGTTGCTTAACCTCGTCAAACGACCAAATCCTGCTTCCTGGCACAGCATCCTCACGGCCCGCAGAGAACCACCGTCTCTCGGCGGCGAATCGGGCAGAGACGGCCTGCCGGTGTCCGGGGATATTCCGTGCGCAATGAGACGATGCAGAGCTGCAGATGGCCCTGCATGCCGCAGCGGGAGCCGGCCAAGCCGTGTTTCGCAGAAGCACGGGCGCTGCTGTCGTGATGAGCCGGCGGGTGGTGGCCATGCTGATGCTCTTCTCGGTACAAGCCGGGATTGCGTGGGTGTCGTCGTCCGTAGATCTAGCAGATCAATAGGCGGTTGGAATGAATCTTGTTTCGCTCTAGCCTATTTGGCCAACATCCCATGTGAAGTTTGAGTAGGTATGAACCCTCGGATGTAGGCTTCTTGATGGCAAATTGTAGGTTGCTTTCTGAGAATCGGACGTACAGGGTTGGACTAGCTGTTTTCTGACGTACGTACTCTTGTAACGTAGAAGATGGTGGAGACCTTGATGGCGTGCACATGCACAACGGGGACATGGACCAGACAACCTTGTCGGTGCCCCAAGATTCCGGTGGTGCATGGTGGTACCAATATGCACAGCATTTGAGCTGGTGTATCCTCTTCCAGAACTCCTAGTTTCTGCCTTAGACTTCAACTACGGTGACAAAAACCCTTCAGACTTGAGTTCACCTCGATAAACAACTCGCTAGTCTACATCAAGACCGCCCTATCCTTCCATGGCCCGATCAAGTGTCAAGCCATCCAATAAACACCAGTGTGAGCTGGCATAACTATGTACAAATGGGTAATGAACTTATTACAATTAGATATCCCCAAAACTCCCGCGTCCTGGCCCATTCATCCGCGAGATCACTTGTGACCCATGGAACCAACTTGTCTATATGCATGCCAATGGTTCATTACTCAAGTGCGATTCAATATTGTGCTTCGCAATTTGAATCGGTAAATTGAGCTGACACTGTCGGCTGTTTCCGGCTGTAACTCAGCTTTGCCTATCGTTTTTAATTATTGTTCCTTCAGGCCTATTGTCGTTTACCACTCGCGCTTCTCAAAGGTGAGGGGACAGTCATCCTTGGGGAAGATGGTAGCAAACACCTTGATCTCCTCGGACAGCGGTGTGGGATGGTGAGTCCATTTCATCTGAACAGAAGCCTTGCCCACCATCAATGCAAGGTTGAGCTGGGCATAAACTTGGCCAAGACAGTAATGAGGGCCAGTGCCAAACACAAGATAGTTCTTGGCACCCTTCACCTCAGCATCTCCAGAGTAGTACCGCTCAGGGTCGAAGTAGTCCGGGTTCTCATAAACCTCAGGGTCATGCAGAGCCATGTAAGTGGTAGGGACAACCATAGAACCTATAAAGAGAGTTAGGCTTACCAGAAAAACACAAAATGTTGAGGTCGCGTTTGGGAATGAGTCACTCACCCTTAGGAACAGTGTACGAATCAGTAATAGGGAATGGCTTCTTGACCAGGTAAGGAACCATCAGCACTGGAGGGCGGTATCGAAGCAATTCACGAACGACTGCGCGGGTGTAGGTAAGAGACTCAAGCTGGTCCATGTTGATCTCCGCATCAGGGTCACCGTTGCGGACCTTCATATTCTCCTCGCGAACACGGTCCAAAACATCTGGCCGCTGAGCGGTAACCTGGAAAAGCCAAGTGGCAGCGCTGCTCGTAGCATCCTGGGAAGCAAAGAGGAAAGTGAAGACGGTCTGTGATATTTCATAGTCGGAGAACATGCGGAGCAAGGGCGACGGCTTTTCCACGCCCTCCATATTCTCACCCTTCTCCTGAGCCTCGCGCCAGCGGTCAGACTGAATCATCTGAAGAATCCAGCCATCCATAATGCAGGTCACCTCACCACCAGCAGCCATACGGACCTTGCTCTTGGCTGCACACTTGGCAAACTCGACAAGAACCATGTCAGCGGCCTTTTTGCCATACCAGGTCTTGGTGAAAGGAATAATGATTGGGAAATTGACAAGCTCGAGAGCAGCGGTGATCAGGTAGTAGTCATCGGCGATCTTCTTGACGGCAGCATCGGACATGTAGTGGCCAACAAAGGTGCGGCAAGACACGGCGCACATCAGTTCGCGGAATTCAGGCATGAATGGCACGGGCTTCCCGTTGTTCTCTTTGGTGACGCTGAGAAACTTTTTGAAGTACGTCTTGTAGACTTCCTCCTGGCCAGGCAGATAGCACTCAAGAGCCTTGCGGGTAAAGAGACCATTAAGTCCCTTACGAAAGTCGACGTGGGCCTTGCCATCGAGGAAAACCCAGTTGTCGTGTCCAAGAAGCTTATGGGCGACATCGACAACGCAAGGCTTGACGTACATGGGCGAGTTGAGGACTTTTCGGGCCATATCTCGAGTAGAAGCAATGACGACGAACCTGTGATATTGTTCAAATACATTGTTAGTGCCTTTCAGTGTAGTAGAACCATACCCCGACTCAACTAGGCAAATGCGAGGTGTTGGCGCAGTTGGATTTGGACACGAACGTACTTGTGGAAGACGGAGACACAGCTTAGGGGACCACTGGCCCATTTAGCATAGTATTCCTCAAATTTGGGGTTCATGGACTGCAAGAAAGGTCCGATAAATGGCATCTTCCAGGCCGGGCCAACAATTGACCCCTTGTTCATGAGGTAGCTAACTATTGCACAGGGTGGCCAAGTTAGCAACAATTCTCCGTCATTTCGATAGCGCAAAGTAGTATGGTCCGAGGGCGACATTGTACAGCGCAAAACCAAGTTAAATAACTTGAAAAAAGAAATAAAAAAAGACGTACTCTGGTCATAGACTACACACATTGCCAAGATGGTCAGGAAAATGGTCCAGGGGCTGGCGGTGGTGACGGCATCGAGGATCATGTCTAGCTGGGGAGGAACATTGATGTTGCCATACTTGGAGCCAGCCAGCATGGAGGGGAAGGCAGACGACGAAGTATTGGCGTCCATGATGGGCGATTTCGACGAACTTCCTTTTAACAAGTCCGCAAGCGTTTGACGGAGCAGAAAGAAGAAGGCTTGGTTGTCGCAAGAAAATAATCGGGGTTCTGTAGAGAACCGGGATCTGGTCGGGGGACACGGCAGAACGGGAAGCGGGCCCTGGTCTACTGGTGACTTTTTTTTGTGTGTGTTTTTTTTGGGTATTCTTTTGTTGGCTCTTTTTAAATTACGGGGTCCCTCCTCCGAAACCCTTTGACGTGCCCAAGCCAAAAAGAAAAAGAGGAAGAAGAAAACGGTCAGGGAAATGTTTGAGCGAAGAGAACGAATGACAGACGATGTAGGGAACAGAGGGATCAGAAAGAGCGTGTGTTATAAAATAATTGATACGTTGAGTACCTGCCTAGGTACTTAAAGTGAAAGATACTTTAAGCAAAGCGCGAGTAGCAGATGGTTGTCAACGGAGAGTCGGGAGGTCTTGACGGTGGAGGAAGGTGCAATCAAAAGGTGCCTGGCCATTTCACATTTTCATAATTTCACTTGCCATTCGTGTTGAACGGCACAGCGCGGCGGTTGAGCGGCTAGGTAAACTACCTGACAGTAGGGGCACGGCGCGTCCAGGCACCGCGCCAGGTACCTACTTTAGTGGCCTAAGTACTTAGCCGAAGTCTCATTTGATGCAAAGATTACAAACAGCGCGGGCGAGGTGGTGTGGTCGACCCGGCGGCGTGGGCAGATGCAGCGCCTGTTTCGTGCATGCTGAGCTTGATGCGTCGGCCGATTGCTCTGCCCCTGCCGGGCAGTTGAATGAGGAATGATGCACAGGCCCCGTTTTGTACTAGTCTCCGATTGTGGCTTTATGTACGGAGTACGGAGTACTCTCCTTACTCTCCAGTTTCGCTCTGTATTCGTATTCGTATTGCCTGCCAGTCACTGGACGCTCGGTCTCAGTGGCCCGTGCCACGGAGCCACGGAGCCATGGAGCATTGAAGGGGGTCAGCCTGAGTGAAGGCGCCATTGACCGATGTTAGGCTGGCTTCTAAGCTGGTCGAGTGGTGTTGATGCTGTAAAGACTGGATGCTCGTGCTGCTCCAGATGTCATTACATCATGGCTACGGAGTACATGGCACGTCCGTGGTGGCTCAAGACCTTAGCTTTGGCTGCCAACCCAGCTTGGCCGAGGCGTAAGCATGCTGTTTCAAGTCTCACAACAGTGACGACAACACACTCCCCATCTAGATCTCCCAATTTCAGTCACCACAAGCACATCTACACTCAACAGTTCTCAACCACCGCCGTCGCCAAGATGCCTGGCTATATTGTAAGTCGATAGACTACCCAGCTGTAACCCTGTCAAGGCTAATGTATCCCATCTCCCCGATAGGTTACCTGCAAAGACGATGCCACCGAAGACCAGATCAAGGCGTATGTTGAACCCCCGCTCCGTGCTGGCCCACGACTAGACAAGACAAGTTGCAAGACAAGTTGCAACAGACAAATCAAAGAGCGGCGTAAACATGGCTAACTAGACCTTGGTTGTTTATGAATGCAGTGCGAAGCAGCATGCCCTCGACCAAGGCGGCAAAATCACCCATGAATACACCCTGATCAAGGGCTTTGCGTAAGTGTCTCGTGCAACATGCAAGACATGCGTCCAGAAGGCGCAAGCCCCAGCTAATGAATATGGCCGATTTCCCCAACTTGCAGCGTGTCCTTTCCAAACGACGCCATTACCACACTGGAATCAAACGAGCACGTCAAGGCCGTCGAGCTAGATGGCGAGGTCAAGGCTTTTTGATCTCGGAGCCAGCTGAAGCCATAGCCGGAGCCGGATGAGCGCCGAAGGAGGCATATGTGCGGAGAGACACGAGGCAGAGAGGCAAGAGGCGGGGCAGGAGAGAGACAGAGAGAGGGGCCGAGCTACCCTAGGCCCTCCATCTCGCTACTTGTGCCACTTGAGCGTTTTGTCCCGTTGCCATGCTACGATAGATGAATTTTGAAGATGCGTGTCGGAACAATTATTCGCAACTACGTCTGTGTTGTAGACAAGTCAATCCTCACACGAGGCTATCCAAGTGCCAATGAAGCATCGGCGCTCTCGTCGTCGATGGCGTCGCTGGTTACCCCTGTCACTTTCCCCTCACATGCTCGGGCTGGCATATACATGTACTATTCTACGTAAGTAGCCGAGTGCTTTGCATTGGGAGCACGTCGGTTGGCCGCGGCCCACGGCGAATGATGGATGGAATCAAATAATTACAACTACTACGTACACAAAATAACACCACCCTTGAGCCATCTTCACTGCTTGCTCCTTCAGCGACAGCCTTGCACCCCAGACAGGCTACGGAGTAGCGGCCACCCGCGCCGGCCAGCTACATTGTCCAACCGGCGACAAACAACGTCAATCGACCTTCATTTGACGCCAATTCCACCGCATTGCTGCCCATATTGGCCCCCCCGGTCCACGCCATCGTCCTCACGACATCTCCCCTCACGTTTCTGGCGGCATCGCACGACGCCATGCTGCAATGCGGACTTCGGCATCGTCGCCATTGAGGCTCTGCCGCTCCTGCCTTCCGCCGTCTTACCCACAGCCACGTTATATACAGCGCCGAGCACTCCATGCATCAAGACTCCTGCGGTACGCACCACAGAACGTGTCTGATGCTGAGATTGCAGCCCTGGCGAGACAACACCAACATTCCCTCAGCCTCGCAGATCTAGTCAAGTATGCCTGCTCCCTTGTATCGCTGGCCCGTCTGGCTTCCCAAGTCCAACAGACCATGCAGATGGAATACCTGCCCATCCGCACGTCCACGGCACGTAGCTAACAACGCACCTTTGTCTTCTTCAGACACGGACGACCACCACTATCCGAAAAGTCCCTGTTGTCATCCGCCAACTTCACACTCTCGCTCCTCCCCATCCGTCTCGCAAGACGAATTCAAGCCCTCCGAAATCTCCCCTATATCGTCGTCTCCAACCCCAACATTTCCCGCATCTACAACAACTACCTCCACTCACTATCAATTCTCCTGCCGTATTGGCATGCCGCAAGCCAAGGCCATCCCATCGCCACGCTCCAGGATGAAATCGAGTTCACAAACGTCCTGGCAGAGCTCGTTGCCACCCACACCGATACCATACCCATCCTCGCCAAAGGCTTTCTAGAATGCCGCAGATATATCTCGCCAGCAGAGGTGACGCGCTTCCTGGATGAGCATCTACGCGCACGAATCGGCACAAGATTAGTTGGCGAGCAGCACATTGCCCTCCATTTCAGTAGTCAGCCTCATTTTGCACCCGAGGACAGCCCGACGCCGTGTCCCGAACACCCGTCATACATTGGCGTCATTGACACCGCCCTGAAGCCATCTCTCACCATTGATTCCTGCGCCGGCTTTGTAGCTGACATCTGCGAGCTACGTTATGGTTCGAGACCCCAGATCTACGTCGACGGCGAGCCGGACACTACATTCGCCTTTGTGCCTATGCACCTCGAATACATTGTGACTGAATTACTTAAAAATGCATTCCGTGCCACTGTAGAAAGCCGGGCTCGTGAACCCGTTGTTGTCACCATCGCACCCGAACCACCCCTCAAAGAACAACCCGGCGGCGCACCACTCATCAAGCAGCCAAACACAGATCGAGGCCAATTCCGCAGCGACGCCATTAAACCCTTGGACGATAACGCTCCAGGAGTCACAATCCGCATCCGAGATCGAGGCGGCGGCATTTCTCCAGACGTACTGCCCAATATATGGTCCTACTCATTCACCACATTTTCCGACGACGACGGCTTCCCCGGGTCAGGAGGGAACACTGGCGGCGATGGTCTAAGTGCCATCGCCACTGCCAGCACGGGGGGAAGTTCAATCGCTGGCTTGGGATACGGTCTGCCCCTAAGTCGTGCTTACGCCGAGTACTTTGGCGGAGGTATTGCCGTCCAGAGCTTATACGGCTGGGGCACAGACGTGTACCTGCGACTCAAGGGGGTGGGAAATCTCAACTGAGGCGTTCACGGGGCATCTAAACAGAAGGACATGGGAGCATAAAGATCAACTCAACCTACCAAGGATCCAATCACGGATACCGTGGCTCCAAATAGGGTACTGCCAAATGCTATAATAATAGTCTATATAAGCGCTCTCAATGAAGAATATTGAAAACTGTCCATAGAAACTTCCACATGCACTACTGATCCTGATGGTAAAACATAAAAGGTACGGATCGGGGAGTCACAACACTAATAACATCGGTTTACTGACAACTAGTTCGCCGAATACTCATTATTTTATTTACGAATGTGTGCGCGATGACGTTGAGCCCTCTAAACTCCCATTTCAATTAGATTGTCTCAATATTTATTGCATGCCATCAAGTATTAATGAAGCTATGAAAAAAAAAAACCGAGCCATTCTCAGTAATGGCCATGTATAATCAACAAAAATTATTTGTCCAAGACTCTAACGCCAGGTACCAAAACATCAAATAACAAAAAGAACGAGCAATTTCTCGAGTCTTGTTTGCACATTGCTCTGCCCAACGTCACTCGCTCGCTTATAGTTCTGTGTCGTGACTAGAATTAACCATGTACAAAAGCAAAAAAAACGACTACGCCCCCGGAGTTGCCCATTTTGACCTGACTATGCACCCCTTTAGACCACGCAAGAAACTGTGAGGTATTACATGTTTTCAAGCTCGCGATCAATCTGTCGGTCCATAAATGTGCGTCTCTCGCCTGTCAGCTCTGTTTGCAGACGCTGCTCAACAAGGGCGCGGACCTGCTTCTTGGTCACTGTGTCAAGATCAATTTCGTGAAGCACAGACTGGATAGCGTCCACAATGGCTGTGTCGTCCGCACCGACGTGGCCGCGTTGGAAGTCAAATGAGGTCGTGGATTGCATTGCATCCGGTCCCATGGGTGGACGATGACCACCCGTGTAGCCCATAGCGGATGACGCTCTGTTTCCTGCCATGCCCAGAGAAGGAGTCATGCTTCCCTGGCCACGCAAATTCATGACGCTACCACGGTTTGCAGGGAAGTCTTGGTACGGCGACTGACTACGATGCATGTCCTGCATTTGGGTCCCGAGAGACATCATCGATTGCCTGCGGATGGAGGCAGGGGCATCGTGATACTGGCCCTGCATCGTGGGAGCACGGTTCATGTTGCTGAAGGGAGCGGGAGACTGAGGTGGCATATATGTGTTGCGCCCGCCCATTCCAGTCAACACCGAGCCTTGAGGAGCGGCAGAGTAGACCGACTTTATTTCATCCATCTCGTACTGATCAGGATAACCGTAATCATGCTTCTCTTGATATCCACCACGACGACCGGGAAGATTATTGGCGAGGGCGTAGTCGTCCCATCTCTGCAAAGGAACGGATCGAGGATCGAATCCTTCGTCGTCAACAGCAACCACCTGCTTATTTCCCTTTTCTCCAATAACGACACGAGTATTGCCCCAAGAGAAGTTGTCCTGATTCCAGAATGAATAAATCGGAAGGATGAAAGAGTATATAGGGAACGCAATAATGTAGATAATCATCCAGCCAATGTGCTGCCACTGCCTCTTGAGGATGAAGACTAGTGCTTGCAGACCATACACTGCTGCCAACATGGCAATGGAAATGATCGGGAACTGTCCAGTATGCGAGGCCACACGGTAAATTAGATAGCCAAGGTACACGCATGTAGCTGGCAAAATGATGGTGCCAAACAGATCAATAAAAACGACGAAGCGCATACTGAAGCAACAGAAGCCGCACATTTCCTTCAAGCGCATCAGCTCTACCAGGTTGTGAATTGTAGAGTTGATCCAGCGACGACGCTGAGAGAGAAGAACGCTCCATGATTCAGGTGCAGCAGTTTTGCATTGGGCGTCCCCGATAAACTTGTAAGACATGTATGGAAAATGTTTTGTCATCAGTGTGGTGAGGTAACGATCTTCACCCAGAGACAGCAGATTCTTTTGATGTAGAGTATCAACATCACAGACGGCATACTCTTTGATTACAGCATCTGAGATGAGCAGAGGTTTGCCTTTGTCGACGGTTCGAAGACGATACATTGTGAAACTAGATGGCATCTCGTTAGTAAAGAATTTTGTCATTCAAAGACAGTCTCAGAAGTGGACATACCATCCCGGCAAGCAAGTAACACTGCCAAAAAGGGATTCGAACGCCTTAGCAAGGTGATGAGAAATAAAGTACTCATAGACTTGAATCATGGTTGTCCAAGACTTCTCATCATTTTCCAGGCTAGTCTCGCCACAAATGCCGGCAATCTTGGCGTTGTTGGCACAAGCAGACACAAGCCGATTGAGAGAATCTTCGCTCACAGACGTGTCGGCATCCACCATGAGCATGTACTCGTATAACTCGGGGTCCACACCAATGATGTTATTGATCTGATGAAACATTTCGAGTTCTAGAGGATTCATGGGAGCCCGATGATGAACTCTGTTGAGGAAGCTCATGAGGAGAATCTGGGAGTCTCGCTTGCCGCGGTTGCCAGGTTTCGTCTTACCCTGCTCAGATTCTTTGCCAACCTTGACTACAACAAGGTATGGGACCACATTGCCTTCGTATTCGTACAAACCTGAATACACCTTACCGTAGTTGAGCTGCTCGCTACCGGGGCCAACTGACTTAAAGGGTAGTGCGGGGGGGTCGACTTTGGGGTCTACACCCAAAATATCTAGAACAATTTTCGGTGTTGGGCGGTCGTTGCCTTGGCCCACGATGACTCCATCGCAAATAACGCATATCAGCTTTCTTTTATTGTCATACTGCAGGGCTGTGAGAGAATCTAACGCTTTGCGCAACGATTCTTCGCCTTCCGTGTAGGCAGGGACCTGACAAATAACAAACTTGTCCTGGGGCGAAGGGCGTCGCTTGGATGAGAAGCGAAGAGCTGCAACGAATTTAATCAAGATAACAGCGCAGATGATAATAGTGAAGGCAAGTAAAATCCAATTATTCACCGTGCATCTTGGCGAGTCACGGAAGTCCGTGATGCCCTTGTAAAAGTTGCGCTGGACGCATAGCCAACTGTTCATGACCTTGGCGTGCTGGGTCTCATTCCCAATTGAGTTCTGAATGACTTGGTCCAGGAGTGATTTGACATTTTGGCCTGGGTTGTTCTTAAAAATGTCGCTAACGCTTTCATCCAAAAAGTTGTACATGGCGGCGTCCTTGTATACATCCTTTGTTTTGAAATAATCTGTGAGATCGAAAATCTGGTTACCGTATATGGCCCAAGGTCGTTGCATATTATTTCCCTGAGATTGCACGTCTTGTTCACTCCAGACGAGATCACCCTTGTAGTACTCCTTGATTTTTGGCTCAAATACGTTAAAGTACCATAGGGGGTCATGCAGCTTGCTGGTTGGATTACCGTAGAAACCAGAGGTATGTACCGCAATGCTGAATTCCGCAGTTTCGTTGAAAACTAGCCTTGTTGTCTCTGCGATACCCAGACCTTGGCACACCTCATTCAAGGGCGGGAAGATGTAGTTGTCCAAGTTGAATCCCGCGAGAGGTTGCATATTGTCGGTCGTAGTCTTGACATCGGTGTCACTGTGCTGCTGTCTCCAGAATTTGGTAATGTCGTACACTTTACCGTAATGACTAACCCAAAAATCATCTTCGCCTTGATGTGTTTTGACCTCGTTTTGGCTCCAGGCTTTGTCAAAGTTGGGGCACAGAAGGCGCCCAAACCAAATAATCCAGAATACAATAATGGCGTTGATCAGGAAAATGAGAAATACTAGAACAAGTTTTTCTCTCCATGCCATGCGGACATCGGGACGTCGCATTCGACCGATGTACCGTAATAATGGCGAAGGAAGCCAGAACGTCAAGGCCCAGACAAAACCGACCCAAACGCGGCGCCCAAAGGAGACCTCTTTGGTTTGGAGCTTCTTATTTTTGGCGAGTTCGGGGTCCATAGTTCCTGTGAAATCCCCTTCAGGGTTATAGTAGATGTCATCTTTGTAGGTGTCCCCCTTGTTACCTAGCCCGTAGTCGCCATTACTGACGTTGCGCATCGCTGTAGGGGCAATAGATGGAGGGGCATGCGGGTTCTGCTGTCCAACCGTCACTTGGCTTTGACTGAAGTTGCGAGAGTGCATAAGCTGGTCATTGCTTCCGTTGAAGCTGGGCTCGATACCCTGAGGTGGGAAGTAGCCGCTTCCATTGGCAGAGTAGCCTGTGTCAAATCCAGATCCAAAGGGATTGATATTCATAGCTGGTGTGTTCATGTCATTGTGTTCAGGTTTTAGGTCAAGCATGCTCTCGGCTTCCCACCAGGCACCTTCCCGCATCCAGACACGGTCTTTACCAACAAAAACCTCGCCATTACTCCAACCTCGCTCGAGGACCCAACTTTCGATGCCATCTTTACCGTCCCTACAGCCAAGGACAGCATAACGGCTGGCGAATTCATCAAGATCGAAGTCAGCAGTGAAGTCGAGGTTTCTATTGCGTCGGTTTGCCCACTCAGGAAGTCTCCACGAGCGGAGCTGGCGCGAGACGGTGCCTGCCGACCATGCTGAGGTAACGGATGGTAGAGCAGCAAGTTGCGTTGGGGAATCATCAGTTGGGTGGAGAGAAAGATGATACCAGAGCCGGTTGGATCCGAGTACGGCAGGTAGGTCAAATCGGCCTGCGCGACCGAGGTTGATGCCTTCACCGTCAATAGGAAATAGTAACTTGCGAAGGAAGCCACCTTCCTCTGCGGCGTAGGCAATCTTTTCTAGCACAACCTCCCGCTTTTCGAGCTCGTGTTGTCGCTCTCGACCCTCTGGGCCTGTCATGATTCCTAAGTCTGGGCCTACATCCGAGACGGCCTGCTGCATCTCTCGAAGAACCGAGGAGCCCGCAGGCGACACATTGACACCATCTTCAATCATTTCCGCATTGATGCCTTGAGAATCGTCAAAAATGGAACGCATAGAGAGGGCCTTGCCAAGAGTGATTTGTGGCACCTCCATCACGGTGATAGAAACTGTGTCTTCAGAAGCTTGGTCAGATGTTGGAGTTCTTACACCGCGACCATCAGGAGACTCATCGCCATTCCTGATTCGAATCATCTGCGCAGCGATAGCCTCGTTTGCTTTTGAAATGACCCAATCCACAAGAGACTCGTACAAGCCACCAATAAAAGTCCATCGGTCTTCAGTGCTGCACTGCCTAAGCAGTGTGTCAGGCTCAATACCCAAGAGGCCACTGACATCTTCGCAGATCTCTTCCAGGGCTTCTGACTCTACCCCATAGTCTAGAGTGTTTCCAAGCTTCAGCAGACCAGCCAAAGTGGAGATGAAGTTTCTATGCGCAGAGCCTTTGATACCGATATCCTTCAGTGCTTGGCGGAAATCGTCAGCAGAAGCACCATCATCCGCGGTGGGGAGATATGAAGGCGGGCCATATGTGCCAGATCTGGACAACAAGGCGTAGGAAGAAGGGGTCTTCAGCCCCAAGAACTCTCTTTCAGCCGGCGTCGAAGCAGATGTCAAGAGGTAGTAAAAGACATCAAATGCGCGATAGCCTGCCTCGGATGGGATATTCAGTAGTCCGTTTACCGTGTCAATACCCCCTTGAGATAAAGCAAGGGACGCGGCAGTAAGATTGCCGGTCAAGTTCAGGGTCAAGGCTACACTCAAGGCTGCTTGGCGAGGTGTGGAAGGATTATACGGAGTGACGCATCGCAGAAATGGTTGAACGGCATCAAGAGCTTTATACAATGTGGACGGAATGGCAAACGGAAAGCTCGTGAGGAATGGAGTCAAGACCGACGGAGTTGATTGGTGAAGAGAGCTGCAAATTAGATTGTCAGCAGTGCTAGCGAAAATATTAATATGCGAGGCCTAGACATACCCGAGAATCACACATCCGTCTTCGGCTCGTCGGCGTGCGTGCTCCCATGCCTTGGAGGCAAGGGTTGAGTCAACCGTGGGATTGCCTTGAGCAGCAGTGAGCCATGTATTGACAACCAAGCTAGTACTGGATTCCAGCTGATGAGGCTGGGAAGCGAGATAAATGTTATGTATCGCATTCAGTAAAGTTGTTGTTGAAACCTGCGCAGTCTGAGGACCGCCCGCTCGTTGATTTCCTGGGCCTTCAGAGCCCACGGAGAACATGGACATGCGGTTCGCCATCTTGGGCGCGAATTCACCCTGTGTGGTCCGCGAAGGGACGTTCGCCGTTGAGAAGTGCTTGGATGCAAAGGATATTGATTCGATGGTTTGAGGATGATTGGTCGATTCTATCTAGACTTTGGATGTGACTTTTTTTCTCCTCTTCAATTTTGCGTCGAATGAATGATTCAGCGGCAAGGCTCGAAACAAAAATACTTGGAGGAGCCGAATGGTAAGTGATGAGTGATGGCGATCAGAGGATTCAATGAAAAATGCGTGCGGTACTCCTTTTCTCTCCAAGTGGCCGAGAGAACTGGGCGGGGAGACCAGGAGGAATTAGAAGCGTACGAAGAAACGCAAAGGATATTAAACGATGGAAAGGAATTTGCCAAAGCGAGTGAGGCAGGCCACAGCAAGGCTTGATGGCAGGAAAATCAGTGATCAACGGGTGCAAGTCCACGATGACCTTTTCCACAAGAGCTGGAATCAACAGAATACAGAACAAGAGCAGACAATGGTACTTTGGAGGTGGGCCCCAGACAGTGGCAGGCACAGGCACGGAGTCCTCCAGTCGTGTTGAAGTGAAATAACAAGACCAGACTCTGAGAGTCGACTGTCGTCTCAGGTGGTTCGGCGGACGCGTTGAGCCAAAAGCGCAATAATTCTCCAGGACTACCTAAGTAGGTAGGTATCTCCCAGCAAGCATGCCCCGCAAGCACTGGAGGACGCGGTGTGCAAACCGTCAATGGTTGACTAGCACACTTGACCACCTAACGCCAGCACCACCGCGATGGTTTTAGCAACAGCAGCCCCAACATTGGGCGTGCTCCGATCAGAGGACAGGCTTGGGGTTTTATTTAGGGGGGATGACAATGGGTCTATCTGGTCAGACCACGCTCTCCATGTCGGCTTGGACCAGATAACAGAACAAGCCAGGCAGCACTGAGCACTTGGGGCAATGTTCAGACAATGGACAACATCCACTAAATGGCCCCTGGGCATTCACTCCAGTCAACCATCTGGGTGTCAAGTTTTGGTGGGTGCACACTGAAGCGCCTGTGGCTACAGCGGACCATCTTGGGAATTGGTACTGCATGTACCCTGATGACGGCATGTGCACAGTGACCCTAACATTCATTGTTGAACAACTCGGCGGCCCAAGTCGGTTTCCCGCCGCCTCCCCAAGCTGTTACGGTCTGATGCTCCTTCTTCCATGCCTCTAGAGATCTGCAAACAGCGAACTCGATTGATAAAAACAGAAACCAACAGCTCAAAGAGTCAGGGGAAACGCCGAGACGCCCGGCTTGTCTCCTGTCGCCTGTTATCTGTCGTCTGTCTCTGCGGGAACGGCGCGTATGCTCTGTTTGCGGTATCCGATCTACCTAGGATCTAGCATTCTCGACAGCTCTCCTTCCGTGTGCATCCTGGCAAAGCTCTACATCACGAAAGGATCATGATTGCCTCAAGGATTTGCATGGGATCCGTCGTGGTCCCGTCGGTATCACCGTGAGCTGATGATGGCTCGCATTGAGCAGCATGACAGGAATACGAAGAGGCGACATGCGACTCCCCCGCCAACGCGTCGAAACCTTGTCGCCAACGAGCGCCATCCAGAGCCACCCAGAGCCAGGCAAGGCCAGCTTCAGCCAACCACAAGTCATCCACAACGGCAGTGGCCGCTCGTATCCCGAAAAAGATGTCTGGTGAATTGCCCAAGTGAGTGAGTGGCACAGGTAAGTGGTGGGTGGGAACAACGCGGCTCACGGGGCCACACGGGCCACACGGGCCACACGGTACGTATTCAAGTTTGATTCTAAACTTGGATCCGGGTGTGAGGAAGGTCCGCGAGAAGTTCTGCTGCGCCCCAGCAACGGCCAGCCTACGCCTTGTGAGCCTCCCAAGAGCCCTTTTTTCGAATTTTCGAAGCATTTTGATGGTCGAAAGAGTCTTTTGCCACGCACATGGAAGACATGAAGATAGAAGTCGGCAGGGGGTTTTTCCTGCTGTCCGCCAATCTTCTGCATAGCTCGGAACAAACCTCCACAGACGCGCAGGACTCCGCACATGCCTTAATGCTTGATTTTTTTTTAGCCCGCGCAATTTTTTCACTGGGCCGAGTCCAAATTTGACAGAATGGGTCTGTCTGACTTTCTTCATATTGCCAGTGGTAAATCAGTAATGGACCAGAAGTCTTTACTGACTAATGAGGTTTTTTTGTTGTTGTTGATATTTTAGTTCCTCTTTGACTTTATCCCGCTGCTCATACATTTTCCCCCTTTCGCTCCAGTCACAACACATGCTACGAGACGCTCATGCTACGTACTCCGTACTAGTGCTAGTACTACTACCACTTCTTCGTGCTCCGCATTCTGTACTCCATAAAAACTGGAATGTATGGACATCCGGAGTACATGCATTAATTTCGTGCGAGCTCATTACTCCCTTCCGGTGTGTGCTACGTGAGCTCGTGCTTGCGCTAGGAAACGGTTCAGGTTCATATCCGGTGTCTGGGGCCCTTGAGAAACAGGAGCATGTATGGAGTCTTCCGTGGGGACTGCTCCGCACTATAGCTACTCGGTACAATATTCTTATTGTTCGATTATCTGGGAGCCTGTGACAGAGTGAAAGTTCCCGAACTTGAAAGACTGCACTCCGTCATTGCGCCGTCTTTGGTCTCCGTTCTACGGAGTACTGAGTTTCGCCTGGGGCAATTGCAATTGATCAACGTGGGGGTATGTTTCGTGTCTCACCCCGGAATTTAATAATAAATTGTCATCACCGCCAGCATCTTTGTTGTCCGTCCTTCACTCATGTACAAATGGCGAGCCACGTATGTAGTAGTATGTATTCCATACATGTCGCCAGTTCAAGTTTTGTCACCCCAAGGTTGGTTGGCATGTACAATTTGAGGCTTACGCACGGCCACAAGAGCACACCACCTGCGAACTTGGGTGAAATAATCCAGGTACCTATTGATCTTGTCAATTTGCTTTCCTTACCCTGGAATATCCACAACCCCTATTTCCTTCTTCATGAGCATCGTTACCGATCGGATGGACGAAACGGCGGCTGCGCATGGCTTTTTAAATAATACATATAGCCATCTCTATCCTTATGGAGTACGGAGTACTTTTGAACATAAATGCATGTTTGCTCAGGCTTACCGATTCAGATTGATGTTCCCAGGAATTGGTTAATTTTCCAATCGTTGTCCGTAAATGTCTCGAGTATCTATGTAGTGTTTGCATGAGCGCCATTACCATCACAGGAAAAAAAAAAAGGAAGGATATACGGAGCAATTGCCCAGTAGACCATGTATATTAACAAAATCATACATACAATATAATAGCACCATGACATAGTATTTACTGAAGCCTTGGAAAGATGAGATGAGAGGCGGCTGTTAACCTAGCCAGGGATCAAAACCATGATTAAATGATCACGCGGCATGGTGGTAGGGACCCCGGAGTACCGAACTAATTATTACTCGCGCGCTAGCATCGTCATGCTATCGATCCTTGTTGGCTCGATCAACGTCTGCAGGGACAGACGGCGGAACCTCAGGTACAAGAAATTATGCTACAGCAATTTCTTTCGAGGCATCCTCACGATATGCTGAGAAAACGCTGGACCGCTCCCTTTTAAGTAGAATAGGAAACACGGATAAAAGCCCATTTACAATTTCCACTGTCTCAAGCCTTGTCTTTGGCAGTCGTTCTGTGGTTGTGGCCGAGATGGGGACAGAACACGTCGACTCTGGCATTTCGTACTCCACGCTGCTCGTGCTGCCCGGCCCTCTCGATTTGTCGTTTTGTGCAGGCAGTGCAACTTATACGGACTTGTCCTTGGGCCACACCCCCTCAGGGGTTGAGCCGCACCAAACTAGTACTAGTTCAATTCTTGTCTTGGTCCCAATCTACGGAGTATTTTGATGAGACTCTCCTGCCCGCCATCAGAGTTTTCCAAAGTCACAGACCCCCCAAAAGACAGTATCCAGACACCCCCAAGCCCCTTGCCAAGGCCACCCTGCCAGTTTTAATGTTCAATGTTGCTTGTCCAGTTGCGGTATCCACAATGCGATGCTGGGCTTGGGAACGTCGGCTGCCCTGAAATGCTGCCGTGATGTTTTGACCTGCTGCTTTTGTTAAACACATATGCTTCCGGAGGCTGTCTGATGGATGCGCAATGAACAGCATACCAGACAGAAGACAGCTTACACATGTGAGCTGTGAGAACCGGGGCTTGGACCACGAGACGTCAGGAACGTCGTGTTCTGATTTGGAATACGGCACATCGAATGTTCAATGTTGTCATGACACGCCGGTCCATTCGGAGCACTTCTCTGCGTTGCCTCGTCCAATGCCATCCGTCCGATACACGCCTTCAGTAAGCTTTGGTTGGCCCATCGGCCCGGCGCCAGGGTCAGCATCAATCAAACAAATCGATGTTGCTTTGGCTGTATTAGCGCTCTCGTAGCGCCACCCTAGAGGACGATCCCCTGTAAGAACGATCCCGAGAGCCCAAGTATGGGGCGCCTGGTGTGTGCGCTTCTGGTCTCAATCGATCGCCGTATGAGTTTTGCTCGTCAAGTGTTAGTCCAGGCACAAGCCTGTTCCAGTTCCAGGGCCAGGTAGTAAAGCCAGCCGCTTGCAAACGCCCATGCCACGCATTCATCCATCCACCAGTTCGACCCATTCTGGGCTAGCTCTGGGCAAAGAAAACATCCATCCCTTTTCTTCTGCTGTTGCCAGAGAAAGAGGTTTTGATCCATACAATCAATAGCGTCAGAGTCAGACCGTGGCTTGTCTTGCGTGAGGACCTTGGCTGTGAGCAACCTCGCCAGCGTCATCTTTCTTGATTTCTTACATTCGCTTTCTGTTGCTATACAAAATCCTGCCTGAACTTTCCGCTTCTCGTTACCTGGCGTCGTTACCTGGCGTCGTACCTCGCCAATACTCCGGCCCTTTGACGTCTTCACCATTTCCCCTCGACTTTCCGAATTCATCGATAACGGTCGCTTCCGCCCCGTTGTGCCGTCGTAATACCTTCGCCTTCTATAGTCCGACGTTGTCGAATCTCCGTTTGCTCCTAGTCTCTTCACTCCAAATCCTGATTTGAAAACTAATTTACCAGCGGTCCTGCTGGATTTCGTGCCTACCATGGCATCGACACTTCCTCCCTTGGGTGCCGGCAACGGAGGGGCTCACACTCAACATTCGTTACCGTCGCTGCCAGCACATCTACAATCCGACACGCACATTACCGGGCACTTGGCTAGTCGCTTCCATGTGTCCCATCCGACGGCGAAGCTGTCCTCCCACGCTTTGGTTTGCCTAAACACTTATACGTCCTCCAGCAAGGGACCAGATGGCGGCAAACCCGGTAGCGCCATGGCCGGCGCCGAAGACATGGCTGATCGTGCCTGGATAAGACTCGGTCACCGATCTGAGAACCAGGCCGTTGTATTTCTGTACGTTAACCAGTAACTGCTCAAATACGTTTAGAGTGATCCTCTCCGCCGCGGCTAACTTGGAGTTTTGCTCAATAGTGGTGAATCTGGATCCGGCAAATCCACCATCCGGAGCCATCTACTCACTGCTCTTTTGGATAAGTCGTCCACACCTCTGTCCAACAAGCTCTCTCTTGCTGCATACGTCTTCGATTCTCTCACAACCACCAAAACCGCCACCACTCCCACCGCCTCTAAGTCTGGCCTCTTCTACGAGTTGCAATACGATACCTCAGCCACAACCAATCCAATCTTGATTGGTGGTAAGCTTCTTGACCATCGACTGGAGCGAAGCCGTATTGCCGACGTCCCTACTGGAGAGCGAAACTTCCACGTCCTCTACTATTTGCTGGCTGGTACTAGCCAAGCCGAAAAGACCCATCTCGGTCTTGATGACGGTGCCAGCGGATCTAAACGCTGGAAGTATCTTGGCCACCCCACTCAACTCAAGGTGGGAATAAACGATTCAGAAGGTTTTCAGCTTTTTAAGACGGCTTTGAAAAAGCTCGAGTTTCCAAGGACTGATATTGCTGAAATTTGCCAAATTTTGGCCGCTATTCTCCATATTGGCCAGCTCGAGTTCGAGACTACCAACAACACAAGCGCCACTGGCGATGACAGTGGAGGCTTCTCTCACGAAGGTGGCCAGACCTCGACGACTGTTAGGAACAAAGATGTTCTTGGAATCATTGCTGCCTTCCTGGGCGTTAGCGCGGCTGACCTTCAGAGCACCTTGGGTTATAAGACCAAAATGATTCAGAAGGAGCGCGTGACAGTGATGCTCGACCCTGCTGGTGCACGAGCACATGCCAATGAATTGGCTAGAACCCTTTATTCGCTGCTTGTTGCCTGGATTCTGGAGAGTGTTAATCAGAGAATATGTGCCCCGGAGGAGGATATTGCCAACACCATTTCCATAGTCGATTTCCCCGGCTTTGCCCAGCAGACTGCCACCGGCTCCACGCTTGATCAACTGCTCAACAATGCTGCCACCGAGGCCATCTACAACTTTACGTTGCATAATTTTTTCGATCGGAAAGCCGAAATGTTGGAGTCGGAAGAGGTCAGCGTCGCTCCTACCAGTTATTTCGACAACTCGGACGCTGTCAAGGGCCTGCTGAAATCCGGCAATGGTCTCTTGAGTATTCTTGATGACCAAACTCGACGCAACAAGACTGATATACAACTTCTCGAGAGCCTGAGAAAGCGTTTTGAAGGCAAGAACCCTGCCATCGAGGTGGGGTCTGCCACTGCCAAGCTCCCTGGAAGCAACTTCTATACCGAGAATGCTGCCGCATCCTTCACCGTCAGACATTTCGCTGGTGAAGTCGAGTATCCAGTCAAGGGTCTCATCGAGGAGAATGGTGAAGTTGTCTCTGTTGATTTGCTCAATATGTTCAATTCTACCAAGAGTGAGTTCGTTGGCAGATTATTTGGCCAAGACGTCCTCCAAACCGTCAATCATCCCATTGAGAAGTCAACCGTCATGCAGGCAACCATCAGCTCCAAGCCCATGCGTGCCCCTAGCGTCATGTCGCGTAAGGGTGGAAGAGGTCGCGGTATCGCTTCTCAACGTCGTCAGCAGGAGAGCAATCTTTTCGACAGTGGCAACACGCATGCTGAGTCTCGAAGTCCTAAGGGAGGCAATAAAGGTGGCATCGATCAAGGTGCCTCTGGACAATTTCTGTCGTCTCTAGACAACGTCCAGAAAGCCGTCACGGACCCAGGCACGAATGCCTATTTTGTCTTTTGCTTGAAGCCCAATGACCGCCGAATTGCAAATCAGTTCGATAGTAAATGTGTCCGTACTCAAGTCCAGACATTCGGCATCGCCGAAATTAGCCAGAGGCTACGATCCGCTGATTTCAGCTTGTTCCTTCCCTTTGGCGAGTTTCTTGGAATGGCTGATGCCGAAACCATTTTGGTCGGCAGCGAAAGAGAACGCGCCGAAATGGTCATTGAAGAAAAGCGCTGGCCTAGTAATGAAATACAAATCGGATCCACCGGCGTCTTCCTCAGTGAGCGGTGCTGGATGGAGGTTGCTCGCCTTGTTGACGTCTCTGCAGCACAAGGCCGCTTCGCCTTGCCATCATCCGATGGCTATGGCAATGATGGGGCGACGCCCGGAGAGCGTGATGCCTTCGGCGCCTCCAAGGAACAACTATTGTCAGGAGGTAACACCCCTCTCATGTATGGTGAAAAAGGCAGACCTGGCTATTTCGGCTCTGACGATGCTCGATCGGAGGCCGGCGCCTCTGCCATCGGTGGCGGAGACATGTTCAAAAACTTTGATACGCGTGAACAGATGGCAGAGCGCGGCAATGAAAAGAATCTTGAGGAGATTGAGGAATTCAAGGATTCACCAAGCCGGAAGCGTTGGGTCTTCACGGTTTACTTCCTCACCTGGTTTATTCCCGACTTCCTCATCCGATGGATGGGCCGCATGCCTCGAAAAGATGTCCGCATGGCATGGAGAGAGAAATTGGCCATTAATATGCTCATCTGGTTCATGTGTCTCGTTGCTGCTTTCTTTATCGTCGTGTTCCCTATGCTTATTTGCCCGAAGCAAAACGTCTTCAGCGCCGCGGAGCTCTCTTCTCACGATGGCAAAGATGGAAACTCAGCTTATGTATCCGTCCGCGGTTACGTCATCGACCTGGGCAGTTTCGCGGACCGTCATTATCCATCTTTTGTGAGCAGAAAAACAATGTTAAACTACGCTGGCATGGACGTCAGTTCTCTTTTCCCTGTACAAGTCTCTGCTCTGTGTCAAGGCACGGATGGTTCCGTGGACCAGGCGGTGACTCTGGATTATAAGAACATCAACATGACCGGGTCACCAGCCTTGATCAATTCTCAGGATTTAAATGCCCAATACCACGATTTCCGCTATTTCACTAATGACACACGCCCCGATTGGTATCTGGAACAGCTCATCATGCTCAAAGGAAACTATGGCAAAGGGACCATTGGGTACTCCCCCGAATACCTTGCGAAGCTTGGTGCGAAGAGACAGGTTATTGCGAGCATTGGAAGCCGTGTCTATGACTTGACTGCTTACACTGTCGGCGGACGTCGTCTTCGTGTCAAACCCGGTGAGTCGCTTCCGAGTGATCCAAAGCTTGCCGACTTTATGGATCAAAAGGTTGTTGCACTTTTCCAGAGCCAAGCCGGCGGGGATATAACCAAGTTTTGGAACTCTTTGGCTCTTGCCCCAGACGTCAAAGCTCGCATGCAAACATGCCTTGACCATCTTTTCTACGTTGGTGATGTGGACACGAGAAACTCTACTCGCTGTAAGTTTGCCGAGTACTTGGTTCTTGCCGTCTCTATTCTACTAGTTTCGGTCATTGCCTTCAAATTCTTCGCTGCTCTTCAATTTGGGGGGAAGAATGTTCCCGAAAACCTGGACAAATTCGTCATGTGCCAGATTCCCGCCTATACCGAAGACGAAGATTCGCTTCGCCGTGCCATTGATTCAGCGGCCAGAATGCGCTATGATGACAAGCGTAAACTTTTAGTCATCGTCTGTGACGGTATGATTATCGGCCAAGGCAACGACAGACCTACTCCCCGTATTGTCTTGGATATTCTTGGTGTCTCTGAAACTGTAGACCCGGAACCACTTAGTTTCGAATCTCTCGGCGAAGGCCTGAAGCAACACAACATGGGCAAGGTCTACTCAGGCCTGTATGAGGTGCAGGGTCACATCGTCCCCTTCCTTGTTATTGTCAAGGTTGGTAAGCCGTCTGAAGTGGCTCGTCCTGGAAATCGTGGCAAGCGTGACTCTCAGATGATTTTGATGCGATTCTTGAACCGCGTTCACTACAACCTGGCCATGAGTCCTCTGGAATTGGAAATGTACCACCAAATTCGCAATATTATCGGCGTCAACCCCACATTCTATGAGTTCATGCTTCAAATTGATGCTGATACTGTTGTCGCCCCCGACTCTGCCACTCGCATGGTTTCTGCATTCTTGGATGACACTCGCCTGATTGCGGTTTGTGGAGAGACTGCTCTGACGAATGCTAAGTCTTCCTTCATTACTATGATTCAGGTTTATGAGTACTACATTTCTCACAACCTTTCTAAGGCCTTTGAGAGTTTGTTTGGTTCCGTCACTTGCTTACCTGGCTGCTTCTCCATGTATCGAATTCGAGCGGCCGAGACGGGAAAACCTCTCTTTGTCAGTCGGGAAGTGGTTGACTCGTACGCTACCATTCGTGTGGACACGCTGCACATGAAGAACCTGCTGCATCTCGGTGAAGACCGATACCTCACGACGCTGCTTCTGAAGTATCATTCCAAGTACAAGACCAAATATCTATTCAGCGCTCACGCATGGACAATTGCTCCGGATTCTTGGAAAGTTTTCCTTTCTCAGCGACGTCGTTGGATTAATTCTACTGTGCACAATTTGATGGAACTAATCCCGATGGCTCAGCTTTGCGGTTTCTGCTGCTTTAGTATGCGTTTTGTGGTTTTCATCGATTTGCTCAGTACCGTTGTGCAACCTGTTACAATTGCCTATATTGCGTACCTGATTGTCCTCGTCGCAACGAAGACGACTGTTGTTCCAATTACAGCTTTTATCTTACTTGGCGCCATATACGGTTTACAAGCCATCATTTTCATTCTTCGCCGCAAGTGGGAAATGGTTGGCTGGATGATTCTGTATGTCATGGCTGTACCTGTCTTCAGTTTTGGTCTGCCGTTGTATGCCTTCTGGCACATGGATGACTTCAACTGGGGTACCACTCGTGTTGTCGCCGGTGAAAAGGGCAAGAAGGTTGTTATTTCAGACGAAGGCAAATTCGACCCCAGCTCTATCCCGCGTAAGAAGTGGGAGGAATACCAGGCCGAGCTGTGGGAGACTCAGACATCCCGCGACGATAGTCGCTCCGAGATTTCTGGAATCAGCTATGGAACTAAGGCCCAGGCTGTTGTGTCCGAATACGGATTCCCCAGCCGACCAGATTCCACTACTGGTTTTGCCGCACACGCATTGCCCTATGACTCCCGCAATAACTCGCGCATGTCTCTTGCTCATTCAGACATAGGTCATCACCGCATGAGCCAGTTCGGAGGCTCACAGTTCTTCAACCCTGACGACATGGTTGGCCTGCCTAGTGATGATGCTCTATTAGCTGAAATCCGGGATATTTTGAAGACAGCGGACCTGATGACCGTGACTAAAAAGGGCATCAAGCAGGAATTGGAGCGTCGGTTTGACGTGCCCTTGGATGCGAAGAGAGCCTACATTAATAGCGGTAAGTAATTTTACCCTCCTTAAGCTCCTCTCTGTTGGTCATTCAGCTAACTTAAGATGTGCCCTAGCTACCGAGGCTCTCCTGTCTGGCCAACTATAAATGAAGAATTGTTGGCTGAGCCATTATACACTGGATAAAAGACGGATTCGGGTACTTGGTTTTTAATCACACCCTGTTTCCATTTTTTCACCATAAAATTAAAAAAAAAAGCTATTTTTATTATATACAAATTTCCTCGCTTTCCAAGAGTCGAGGAAAACGGCGCAATTTGACGGGTAGCGAACGAAAGAAATTGGGTCACCGCTATGTATTTGTAATAGGGCTGTTACGCCCCCGAGGCTATTTGGATACCTAACCCTATATACATATAGCATAATCATGGGCTTGAGAAAGCATCGTATTTATAGGAAGACAGTTATTGTTGCTTTGATTTGATTTTATGAGGGGTTAAGAGTTGGATTGAGCGGGCGTGTTGAAGCTTATACTTTTGGGCTATCGCGCTTTGGTTGGTCTAGTTTAATTAGCGTACAAACTGCGTTTACAATCACATCTGGCCACACTATGTTTGACCGTTGTGATGCTTGTGCTCACATGGTATTTTTTGGTGACGCTGAAAATTGACTCGGTTTCCTTGCAACTCCATAGACACGGCAAAGTATTCTACAGCCCAAATCAATACGTATGGCCCGTGGGCGTTCATCAAGAGGAGGCAAACACTCCAACGTCGAAATCCGGGCTTGGTGTTCTGGCAAATCTTTCTGGCTAGGCGTGTTGGAATGCCGGTCCGTTAGATGAACTGGGTTCTCCCCGAGGGGTATGGACAAGACAAGGAACTGGTTTGATAGAGTTTTGCGCAATACTTTGGTGAGTTAGTTTATGGTATATCATGGATAGGTTTCTGTTCATCTGGCATGTGATGGGGTTGCCCTTAAGCTTGTCTCAGGGACACAAACGTCGCACTCGTTATATATATATATGGTTCACTGACTTGCATATTGTACGGCTTGTTCAGCCCATGTATGATACCAAGTCTGGTCATGGCTGCAGATAAATAATTCTAATGATGGTAAAATAGTTTACTTTCGTCAGCACTAATACACGAGTTTGGGCCGTTGCTGGGTCAACAATCAATCACCTGAACGGCAGCCGTATGCAACAGAGACTGACCCAATTGGACATGGTATGACTATTAAGCAAGTTCATGCCTTGTCGTATCCTCGTGAGCGTCTATGTTTCTATTTTTTAATGCCCTTTATACTTTGGCTATCTTTTCCAGAAGCTGATCAACGCCACCTTTACTCCAAGCCCAAACCCGATCTTGATCGCACGTTTCCCACGCCCTTTTCATGAGGGCTGCGTATATCGCGGCTGTCTCATCTACATCGCAAGAGGCTCGCTGAGAGTCCAACCAGCTCAGGATACCGAATCTCGTGATCAGAGTTGTACTCCCAGATTCAATACATGTCGCCCTGTATACAAGCTTGAGAAGTCGGGTCCGCAACGCCGAACGCAGATATGGATTGCTCCCTACTGCAAATATCTTCTCGAACCAGCGCTTCTTATGAAATACGCTGAGATCCAGCGGGGTTCTGAGACTGTCTAATAGGTAATTGAACAGCCAAGTGAGCTCCGTATAGTATTTGTCATCTTCCGATGGTGTCCCGTGAAGGATATCATGTACCAAAGGAAGCTTGTCCAACCCCCAGATGGGGCTGCGTGTAAGATAGGAGTTGACTTTGGGATATAGGGGATGGAGAGGATTCTTAAGAACGTCCAAGGCGTGAATAGCAAATGCGATGAATGCTGAAGGAACGGGGCCGATGTCAACTTGTGCTCTCGACGACTCTGCTAGTTCCGACAGAAGTAGCCAGATCTGCGTCTTTTCTTCGTATGATGAGTCCTTGATTTGGGCCGCCATTTTGAGAACCCCAGTCAGCGCCTCTTTTCGCAAGTTGATGTGCTCAGAGGCCAAGAGGCGCACCAGACCTGCTGCCCATCCATCTTCAACCATGTCTTCCACGCCTTTGGATACCCATTTTGTAAGTACTGTAGCATCATCATCTGACAGAAAAGGCACATGAAGCATCTCCTCTAGCGCTGCCTGATTGACAGTGGGCCCTTCGATTTCGCCTTCACCCCCAGAGACTGGTTTACGGGTCGTCCACTGGATTCCGTCGTGTTTCTTTAGCGTCTTGACTTGCTTCGTATTCCCGAGACCAGCAAGATTGGCTGATGTTGTAGAGAAGAGATTCTCTATGTCCTTGTACAAGCGTTCTAGAGGCGCAACATCCTTGCTTGACGCTTGAACAGCGCTGAAGTAGAATGACACAAAAGTAGCAAGTTGGTTAGCAGCTTTTTCGTCCCCAGCGTTCAGCGCATACGGCAATTGGTCCATGATCACAACGTTAAGTAAGGAAATGTTGCCGTCCGTTTCCAAGGTACTTGGCTTCGAAGAGTAGACTTTCACCAGGTCCAAATATTTGATGGGCGAATTGGCGCAACGGCTGACACAATTATCCAGGAAAGACCATACGGTTTCCATTCCAGAAGCCCCCAAAGTTTCTCTCGCACATCGCAAAGCTTGTAATAAATGTTTAAGTGACACAGACTTCGTCACGACTTGGCTTTCCACAGCAACATCCCCCAGGACAGCTTTAAGTTGACTAAGTGGTGCACCCTCCTTATCACCGCACAACAATTGCAAAAGTGCATTGAATGGTGAGCAAGCGTACCCATGACCAAGAGCCTCAAGTTTTGCAAACCATCTCATTCCAGGTGAGTAACTGGCAATCAAGACCAAGTTTTCTAGCTCCATTAAACCTAGAGCTCTGGGCTCGGCTTCGATATTATCTCTGTTGAGACCTGCCAGAACACCCGCAAAAAAGGGAGACACATCAAAGTTAGCGGCCAGGGCAACTCGAGGGATGACTTCATAGTACAACCGCAGCAGGCGGCTTGTCAGGGTTCTGTGAAGAATGTTCTCAGCGGGAATGCCTTTGTAGCAACGAACAATCTCCTTCATGTCTGGTATCCGCTGACAAAACATGTCCACCAGCCGCCGACTTGCCTCCATCCACACTGCGTTCCTTCGCCTTGATTGACCATCAAGCATTTTGAGTGCCGCCGAAAGCTTCTCCAGTGCTGCAACAAGAATTCTTGTCGCAAAGAAAGACGTCAGGTGGGATTTCGGGGACAGGCAACGGATGAGTACTTTCTGATTGATTGGCCTAGGAACAATGTTGTCGAGGAGAACTGGAGTCGGAGGGGGCATAACTGCATATCGTGAAGGATCGCCAAATGATGCAGGAAGTGGGATCATCATAGTATTAAATAAGAATGCTGCGTATCCAATCCATGTCATGGATAATTTGGGCTCGAAAGTGAAAGACTGATTATTGTGGAAATAGTCCGAAATGAGCTCTGGTGCAGCCTGGAAGATAGCAACCAGGAGCTCGCAGTGCTTCAGGTTGGACCAAGGTCGAAGTTTACCAATGAATTCGGAGAGTACGAAGTTGTAAACAGGAATACCTTCTCGAAGCTTTCCTTCCCAAGGGTCGCCATTGGCCTCCTTGTTTTTATTTTTTGCGGAAAGCGCCGAAAATTCGTCGTCGGCTTCTTTCGGGTATAGGCCTTTGTATGGATAGAGTATGCCGCCACTATAGGTCGTACAGGCGTTTGTTAAGAGATGGTGCGCCTTTTCGCAAACAATGTCTTTCTCGTCGGCATTGGCAGTTGTGTGAGAATATGAGTAGAGCGACAGGATACGCATTAAAATTTTTGTGTTGAATGCTTTGAACTTGACCTCGCGCGCGATTCTGTTATCAGACAAGACATGCGCCTGCAAAGATTCCAATATCTCTATCACAAGATATGGAGGGTCATTCTTCATCATATATGTCAAGTGTGACAGTTGATCTCGTTGTGACAGCAACTCTCTTCGGCCTTCTGAGTGCAAGTATTTGAGGCAGCTCAAAAAGAAGCGGACGGCATTGGTTCGAACCGAAGCTTTTCGGACATCTTCCTGCATATCTCCCACATGACCAATTTCCAGATTTCGTCCCAGCGATGTAAAGGTATAGATCCTAGCGCGCACGATTTTCTTTGCATAAGCGCCCCCGTCAAAGCTGACAGCTTCACGCAGAAGCCGTAGAGTGGGGGAAATGATAAACCCTTTGCCTTTTTCAGATCCAAGGTTCCTGGATACACATTTGAGCTGTGCTTCCTGGACTAAAGTCTGACAGATGCCAAGTCCAAATGGCACAAGATGCAGAGATCCGGAGAGCACCTGAAGGACAAGGGCGAGAACAACAGCGACGGAGGACATAACGCCCTCGTTATTCACCTGAATGGAGAACGACCACATCTCCATGATATCGTGGAGGTGGACGGCTTCCTCGCTGGTGTCTCGCGGTTTGACGCCCTCCAGATAGTCTTGCAAGATGGCCAGGTTTTGTTTTCGGTTGTCATCGCTAGAAATAATGTCATCGAGAAATTTCTTGAATGATTGCAGTCCTATTTACGTCGAGAGAATCAGTAAAATAGCAGGAAAAAGCCCGCGCCCCAGAAGTTGGAGAGGTACACACCATGACGGGCCTTGCGCATGTCCTGGTCAAAGGTCAAGAGCTGCCGGAGCTGTTCGCTTGACGTGACTTGCTCACCAGTTGGAATATCCTGAGTGAGCTTCTGGCGCTTGCGGAAAGCCGCAGCACCGTCCGTGTCGTGAGTCGATCGCTTGACCATTGCGACGAAATCAATTGACGGGCTCGCCGTCCGAATGGATGCGACGCTGGAGGTCCAAGTAAGGCGCCTACATCAGCGTCGCTATTCTCGAGAATTTGGAGTTCTGCCAGTCGTCACCGCCGCCCCGCCAGACGAGATGGGTTAGCTTGTTGCATTGCAGCCCAAGCCGCTTCCCAGTACGGAGTAACATTTGAAAGTTGCGATTCTCCATATGTACAAGAAAGACTGCTTCGTTTGATTGCGGCCAATGAGCAGTTTAGACTAGACAAAAAAGACAACAAGGCCATAGTCACCCTTCCAAGCAAACATGCAGTCCCAAGGTTCCTTATCCAGTCACCATTTGTTCAATGCTTCTTGGA